ATGTTAAGGCTACATATAATTATAATTACATTTCTAATTATAATTAATTTCTAACTGTTGTTCTCTCCCTCCCAAGGGAGTTTTGTGAACTGAGGATCCAGGGTGGAAAGTAGAATTTCAAATTAAGAATCCCCATCTGTATCACTGTCATCAGCCCTCTGTTCTTGTGCTTCTATTCTGTCATTCTGTCATAATTTGAAGAGGTGTAGAAATCTTGTGTAGGATTTAGGATACTTCCGAAATGAAGGAGTCAAGCAGAGTCATCTACTCAAGAGATAGGACTGGTAGATGACCAAGGTGAGACCAAGTCAGAAAAGTCCAAACAAGTGGGACAAGGCCAAGAGAAGTCCCTCTGGCCCCACATCTGTAGCATGACATGCTTTGGAATCCTGCATAAGAAGGATGCATTTCTGAGCAGGAATGGTAGTTATCTTCTGCAGCTTTGTCTTTCTTTTTTCCTTGCTGGGCAGATCCTGTGTTGCAAAGATTCTATTTTGTGCAATTAATTGTACAAAATCATGGAGTAATTGATTTGAAAGGGGCCAATCGGGCTGTCAAGTGCAACGCCCTGCTCAAGGCAGGAATCCAAATCAAAGCAGATCTGACAGAGGGTTGTCCACAGTTGTAATACTCCTGTGAAGTTTTAGGCTTCCTCCAGAGGAGGAGGCCATAAAGCTTCTGCAAAATTCCTGCGGGATTTCCCATAAGATTTCTCAGAAGAAAATTCGCACAGAGAAAGACGATAAGAAGAAATTCCTTCCCTCCAGTTTCTTAGCAAGAGCAGGAGGCTGCAAGATCCACATCCCCACTGTGAATAGGGGAATTGTGAATGACTTTGTAGTGATCACTATGGGATTAGGTGTGGATTATATACCTCTGCTACCAACATGAATTTGACCCATCTCCAGGAGGCAGTGGAAGACAGGAGGGCCTGGCGTGCTCTGGTCTCTGGGGTCATGAAGAGTCAGACACGACTAAACAACAACATATACCTCTGCAAAGGTGGAGGACCACATTGGTAGACTGCTGGATCCAGCCAGCTTTCTTATGTCTGGGTGATTTCCCCACAGATAAGACCAGTCATCCTACCAACCAGGTTCACTCTCAAGGATCTTAGTCTCCAGAGGGTCATGAAACAGTTGCATTGATGCATAGACAGGAAAGTGGCAGAAAATGTAACAAACACAGGCTGGACCCCATTTACAGGCCTTACTGATCAGGATGGTGAAGGTGGCTTCCTGCAAGGCACAGCCTACTGAAGCTGTTCTCCGTAGTAAGAAGCCTACAACCACTGGCGCTTCTGGTGGCCTGCTGTGATCCATTTAATTTGCATTTCACACATAAAGTTGCTGCGTTATGGCAGCTTTGCTTATGGATGCAACCTGGACGCTTTCCAGTCCAGTTATCATGGACTACCTCTCAGTTTGTTCAGGCCCTGGATGTGGAAAATGTTCTTGGAGAATTGACTTGCCTTGTGCTTTACAGGAGTGTTGTATTTCTTCACAGATGGGTTAGTAGGGTGCATATCAGTAGCTTGTTAAAGTCTCCTGACAGAAGAGAGTGGCTCCTTCTGTCCTAAAAGGAACTGTGGTTTAGCTTCCTCTTAATGAAATCTACCTCCTGCCATGAAAGGTGGTGTTTGCATCTTTTTAAAAATCATTCTCCGGCTGTTCATCAAGGGGGCGGGTGGGGGAGGAGGGACTACTTCACAAGCTCTGGAGTTTTCTTTCACTACCAAAAGCTTTAAATCTATTGATTAATAATGCTATTAATCATGAATTCATTTATTACAGAATAAAACTGTTGAGACCATAAAATTCTGATTCCAGTTGTGCCATGAAAAGTGTCATCTCAGGGGTGAGGAGGGGGGGGGGTCCAGTAAGAAGATCGTCTGAACATCGGATCGTTTGCCAAAGTCCTTCATTTGAGAGACATTATTACCCTCATTAAATATCCTCCAAATGTCACCTGTAGCAAATTATTGTAATTGTTACTTTAATCAGTAGAAAGAGTGGCAGTTAATCAACAAAACCCATTGATTTCAGAAGTAGTGTATTCAAAAAGATTGGTCGTGCAGAGACCAGTACATTTGATTATTATTCATACAGCACCTTTCTGCGAGAATTTTTAGAGTGTCAGGAACACAGACATTACTAAAGTTGGTTTTTTTTATGTTTCTTACGATTGAATAAATATACACAAGTTTATACTTGCCTTCGACATTTGTACAATAAGTTGCTGTCGTACTAAGTTATATTAAATAATATGTGCATGGAATTCTCTCTATAATCCAGGTGTACGGCTCAAATAATATTCTGCTATAAGAATAGTCAAACCTTCTATTCACCATTTTCTAAAAGTCAAATTGTGAAAACTGTATGAAGTTTTGAACCGACAGTATACCTGGGAAGTATTTTTGAAGTCCCCAGATCTTTCTTCTCTGCAGCTAGGTCAGATGACATACTGTTATAGCAGTAATAGGTACCTTGCTTTGCAGAAAGATAAAAAGAACTGTAACGGCTAAGTTGTAAGTCGGCATAATATATGAGATGGCAGACTGCATTTGCTGCTTACCACCTTCATGCTTTTTGCTGAGTGAGTCAATCTATCGGTGCCAGAAGTTGGAGATGCAATTTCCCAGAATTGCCCAGCCATTACTTTAAAAATTATAAACAATTACAAAGGAAGGAAGGACGGAAGAATGGACAGATGAATGGATGTAACCAATTTTAGATGGCTTGTGGATTGTGATCCACCAGTTAAAGACCAAGGAAGGATCTCCCTGTGGATCATATAGAGGAACACTCACCACAACATTTCGGGACAGGCCGTCCCATCCCGAGTCAGAAGCCATCTATAGACTAACGCACTAGAGAAAATAGAAATAGATTTAATCTTAGAACACTTGCTAGAACATTATTGATTCAGCTCACTTACATGCCTGCATGCCCATTGTCTAAAGACCTAGAAGCGTCACAGTTCAATGACAGAAGGCCTCAGCTTCCCCCATTTAGAAAACAATCTTAGAAATACCAATTTGATACCACTTTAGCTGCCAAGATTACATCTAAGGAATCTTGGGAGTTGTAGTTTAGAGAATTAAAGTCCATTCGGAGGTGCTGTAGCTTGTTCAGGTAGACCTGCCTAATACAGAGTTGAGACTAGACAAACTAGTAGTCTCATGCGACATCCAAGATGTTCATGGATTATTTCTCTGAGTAGCTTCAACGAACATGATCCCTGGTGAGAGATTCTGGGAGTCATCATGGAAAAACATCTGGAGATGCAGAGGCTGAGAATCACTGGTTTCCTAGGGCTATTCGCCAACATACCTTGATGTGCATGTTGTTATTGTTTAGCCGTTAAGTCATGTCTCACTGTTTGTGACCCCATGGACCAGAGCACACCGGGCCCTCCTGTCTTCCACAGCCTCCCAGAGTTTGGTCAAATTCATGTTGGTCACTTCGATGACATTGTCCAACCATCTCGCCCTTTGACGTTCCCTTCTCCTCTTACCCTCACACTTTCTCAGCATCAGGGTCTTTTCTAAGGAGTCTTCTCTTCTCATGAGATGGCCGAAGTATTGGAGCCTCAGCTTCAGGATCTGTCCTTCCAGTGAGCACTCAGGGTTGATTTCCTTCAGAATGGATAGCTTTGTTCTCCTTGCAGTCCAGGGGACTCTCAAGAGCCTCCTCCAGCACCACAATTCAAAAGCATCAATTATTTGGCGGTCGGCCTTCTTTGTGGTCCAGCTCTCACTTCCATACATCTCTAGATGTGCATGTAATTGTTAGGTAATCTGGTTATAATTTTGAACAGAAAGACTCACAAGGTGGCCATCCTGGTGTAAATGTTTTCCAAATGAACCAGAAGGTGATCTCTCTTCCCATTTAACAAACTCATGTGGGTGTATACTTGGCGTCTGGTATTTTGCAATATTCCTTGAAGGATGCTTGAAACATCAACCTCTCAAAAGCCAGTTGGTACAGTGTTACATTGAATGAATAAGAAAATGATGGAACATTCTGTTGTCTCTCTCAGAATTGTCAAGGATGTTTTGTCCTCACCTGTTACATCTTGCTAGCTAACTATTCCAGGAAAAAAAGAAAAGAAAAGAGAGAGAGAGACTTTGAACCAAAGTAATAGTGAAAGAAATACAAAGTGCAGGTATGCTGCTACTGACTGATACAATGGGGCTCAATCCAATTTTTATTTTCAATTCAGACCAGAGCCCTTGAATCCACAAGATTTACATGAACGTCACCATAGCAAAATCTCTTTGTGGAAGGAGCCTTCTTCAGTTAGAATTAACAGCTGGACTTCGCGCAAGGTCCTTCTGAATTTCTGTAATCCTAGAATGTAATGTTCTTCAAAATGTTAAACATCACCATGCCAAGGAATACTGTGCCTGATGCATATCTTCACATTATGCTGATAAACCATCAGCAGTCACGCTACAGAAGAAAAAAAAGAAAATACAGCAGCCATATTCTTATGCCAGGCAATGGGCTCCCTTTTTTCTTCTTCTGATTCTCTTGAAAAGCTGAGCCAACAGGCACAAATAACATGTTTCCCCGAAAATAAGACAGGGTCTTATATTAAATTTTGCTCCTAATAAAGCAGTAGGGCTTATTTTCAGGGCACATTTTTTTCCATGTACAACAATCTACGTTTATTCAAATACAGTCATGTCATCTTCTGGTTGCTGTACAATGGTGGAGGGTAGGCGTTCACTTAACTAGGGCTGATTTTGAAGGTCGGGCTTATATTACGAGCATCTTGAAAAATCATACTAGGGCTTATATTCAGGTTAGGTCTTATTTTGGGGGAAACAGGGTATTGCAGTTGTTTCCAGACCTCTTCTCCTCAGTGGTCCTCCTCTTTTTCTTCTTCTTCTTTAACCAATTTTTTTTCCAGTCTGATCATTCTGGTTATGGGAAAAGAGGAACTAGGACTTTGGATCCAACTTTAGAAGAGTTTTCTTTTTCTCCTCTATGCAGGCCTTCTAAACCTGGAGAAGTTGCTCCGTCAGTTCCTTATCTCTAAAGAAACGCTCTCAGTCCGGATGCTGGATGATAGCCGGGATCCTACACCATTGCTAAAAGAGATCAGGGATGACAAGACGGCCACAATTATTGTACATGCCAATGCTTCAATGTCCCACATCATTCTTAAGAAGGTAAGTGGCAAATACGATTTTTATCGCCTAACCTACCCAGCTTTCAGACAGGGCTTATTATGTTAAAATGTAGCGCTCAGCTTCTCCAGTAAAGCTGATTAGGAAAGTAAGTTACGGACCACTGAAAGGAAACACATTTTCAGGCAACATATAATGAAATTCAAGAAATCACAGCTACAAGACCGAGATAATGATCAGGTCACCATCTTTTGATAGACTTCAGAGGTTCATGGACCTAAATCCTTTTGCTCATTACAATTAGAGTAGACCCATGAATCAGTTGCTGGCTAGTATGTCTATGCTTACATAAATCTCATTAATTCAGTTTGGGTTGGTCACAAACTATGCTTACATAAATCTCATTAATTCAGTGGGTCTACTTAAGCTGGGTTGGCCACAAGCTGGATTTAGGCTGTAGAGGATAAGTCTGTCATGAGCTAGTAGCCACAGTAACTAAAAAGAAAATCAATACATGGTTTTGTGATTTCCCACCCACACAAAAATAGTCATGCCTTACCATCTTGGGAAACTGATTTTTAGAGTGGATGGTACACAACAATGCTTCCAGTCTGTTGTTTAGCATCTTTGGCCAGTGTTTTTATATTTTCCTTTCCTGTCTTTCTCTGTGCTTGAACAGTTTTCTTTAAAAATTGATCGCTTCCCCCCCCCTTTTTCCCTAAGATTTGCTGTGTGAGTTGGAACCCTCCAAACCCCCCTTTGGCCTTAAACTTTTGGCAGCATTCCTGATCTGTCCATTAGATGAGGAAACAATATTAACAATTTATAAACAACCGTTCGGATCTGCAGCCTCATCAACACACAGTAGCGAGCACAGAAGTATAGTTTACCAAGCATGTGATTGTTTCTCTTTTTTTGGCTGTTTTTGTTTTACAGCCCCAGAGCCTAGGGAAACGGAACAGTTTTTGGCTGCATAGGCAGCCTATTTGCAGAGCAGTGGTGTTTTGAAAGAACAGCCAGGAAGACTTCAGACCATTAAATTCTGTTTATAATCCAAGCTTGAGACATCCTGGTTCCCCTCTTGCTGTTTCTATCTCTACCACCCTCCCTTTCCTCACCCATCAGTCCAAAAAAGGATTCTGGAGCAGCTTATTGTTGTAGAGTTTTGAATTTGTGGTTATAATTCCTTTTGCTTTTTGTCACAGAAGTACAGAGACTGACAGAAGAGAATTCTTATAAGTTCCCCAATGTCCACCTCTTTTTCATTACCTGGCAGTTGAGTTAAAGTCTCAGTCCCTCATTCTGAGACATTTGTAGGAGAAAGAATAAAAGTGTACCATTAGTTGCATTTGTGAACAGATCAACAGCAAAGCAAATAAGCACTGCTTCCAAATTAAAAAGAGGGGGAAGGGAAAACTGAGTGAGAGGCGGGGCTCTCTTTGAATACAAATATGGGAAGGAATGATTGGTTAGTGCTGGATAGAATGACAGTTATCCCAGTCCAGAAAGGTCCAACCAAGCCACACCTACTAGAGGCAGCAAGCGAGGTTGTAACAACTCCATGATTTACAATAGAGGTAATAAGTCTGTCCTTGCTCACAAGCTTACAGTCTAAAATCTGAGACCTGCCTTAGAAAGGCTGAGTGGGAGGAAGATGATAAGGAGACCCTGGTCCTTAGCTGTTGGGAGGTGGCATATGATGGAGAGGAGCTGGACCTGTCTGTGGCCATCACAATCAAGGTACAATTGGAATTAAAGGCTAAAAGTGAGGGCTTCCAGGTGGGTTTAACTTTAGATAAACTACGAAGCAGCAGAGGCTTCTGTGTGCATTTACGTAGTTAAATAATTTGTTCGCAGAGAGAGGAAATGCTTGTCTAGATACCCCACAGGAAGACATGTGGGTATATAGAAGTTATAAACTTCCCCCCCTGAAAAAAAACACCCAAATGTTGCCCTCCTCTAGTCCTTAGCCTCCAGCTTACAGAGTCCACTTTACACTGATGTGGCACAAAAAATGAAACCTCTTCTAACTTATCTTACATCAAGGAAAGTTTCCCAAGAAAACTCTGCATCTGTGAAGGTCCACTTCTGAGATGGCGAATTAATGTCACCAAACAGAAAAATGGAGCATGTATTGGGCAGGAATGTAAAAATGGGTCTGTGTTTAGAAACAGCCCATCACCCGGGCCTGCAGATCAGGAATGGCAGGGTTTTGTCTCTATGCCAAGTTGCTCCTATGATTACTCATCTGTGGGTCCAGTTTCAGATGTGATTGTCTTTTGTCCACAGGTGAAGGTGAAAACCAACTTGCTAATAACAGTCTGGCAGGGTTTTGTCTCTATGCCAAGTTGCTGCTATGATTACTCATCTGTGGGTCCAATTTCAGATGTGATTGTCTTTTGTCCACAGACGAAGGTGAAAACCAACTTGCTAATAACAGGCTGGCTCTAAGACAAGATCAGTGAGATCAGTAGCAACTTAATGCATCTCATCAACATAGCACTGTATCATTGTAATTATACAGCAGCCAAATAGTAGACTCCCTCTCACTCTCTCTCTGTGTGTATGTGTGTACACATTTAAAGCCAAGGACAAGTTGCATTTCTGACCTTCTGTGTTTTGCTGGTCTTCCCATCTCAACCTGTTGTGTTTTCTGCTGGAAACTAGAGCCAAATGTTCCTTCTCTCACACACACTCTCTTTTTCTGCCGAGTTAATAAAGGATTTCAATGATTTCTCTCGGTGCTGAGGGCTACCCCTTCAGCCTGTTGCCATAGTAATGTTGCACAGCTATAGAACCGTCCCTTCTCTTTGGCTGGCCCTCTTCTCTTCTCTCCCTTCTTTTCTCTGGGGTACTGTCTTGCCATGACCGACATAAAGATGTCAAAGATGGGAAAGTGTTGCTTTTCTTAAAATTAAAATTTAAAAAGCATTCAGAGTAGAGCTTGATGCCGGAGACTCTCCCAGGAAAAAGTGTAGGGAAAGTGTGTGTGTGTGTGTGTGTGAGTGTGTGTGTGTGAGTGAATGTGTGTGAGTGAAAGAGAGAGAGAGAGAGAGAGAGAAAACCAATATGGGTCTATGGCCTTGTGCCTCTTCTGCTCTCTAAACATGCAGGTCATAAAGCTTAGCATTGTTATAGGACATGCACAAGGAGGGCAAACGTGGTAAAGATGAGTTGTGATTATCATTAAAAATTGCCTTTTGGGGCCCAGGGTTTGCAGAAGTGTGAAGCTAGTGTGGGAAGCATGGGCCAGAAATTAACACCCAGTTGCCTGGTTCTTAAAGCCGAAGATCAGTGCTACAAACGGTTAACCTGGCCAGAGTGCCCACATAAGGATCAACTAAGCAGCCTCTTGTTGTTCCCTAGAGTTTGTTTCTTCAACTGCTTGGGACAGTTTGGAGCCAAGAGCATCTGCAGGAATAGGTTGGCAACAATCATGCACAGCCATACAATGAAACACATCTCTCTCTTTTCATCATAGTGATAAATTTTGAATTCTGGAAGGGGTCAATCCCTATACTCCCCTCCCCTTTGCAGGCACCCATGCCTGGAACACAACTCGGGGGGCATATGCCACCCCCTCCCACTTCCGCCACACACAAACAAACTCGCTTTCTCTCTTTGCAAGTTCAGCACTCAGACTTGGGCACAAAGGAAGCCTGTGGAAGCTGTTTCTTCCGTGCATTACCAGCACAATGTCTGGGTAGGTTGCTTACATCCCTACCCTTTCCTCCATAAGGAAGAAATGCCAGTATTTCTGAAATATTTTTGTTTTCTCAGTAATCTCATCCACAGCTGACTGAGGAGTTCTGGGAGATTTGAACCAATGCTCACCTCCCCAAAACTTCCCTGTTCTGTTGAGAAATGAACGTGGGGCATAAGGATCCCTTATCTAGACCTATTCAAAATCTACTCTGGCCTTTGTTGGTTTTCTTTTGCTTTTTTTTTTTTCACCAGTCCCTCCCCCAAATGATAATTTGGTCTTTAAACTCAATGGCCAGTCCAGTTGCCAGAGCCAAGCCCACGATGGAAAGAAATTCAGTCACATTTGGCTAGAAAGTTGTCAGCAGTGTGACTCTATCTGTCACTCTATTGTCATCCCTTGATGGACACGGAGCCAAAGAAATTACCTGTGTTTCATCTCAGGATGCTCCCACACTGTCACCTCTCCAGACTGCTTTGCAGATGCATTAAAAAGGCCATTTTTTCTCTGATTTATGGTGCTCTGACTAGACTCTGTTTTCTGTGTCTGCCCACTTCAAACAATGAATCCACCCTCGCCTCTCACTTCATATAATTCCCTCACATGGTCTGGTCTAGCACGGATGCTCCCTGTACTAACACACCCACTCAAGCTGTTCATGGACCAAAGGTGAATGTGCAAACAAACCTATGTCTTCCTGGTGGCAGGGAGAACGGGGGCACCCACCTGTCCCAGCTAAATATCAAGCGCCGTGGAGATGAGAGGTGGCAGCATGGAGAGAAGGAAAGCCGACTCAGTTGCTGGGAAACATTGCTCGTTCTCTTCGTTTGCCATTAAAGCTGGCTCTGAACTCTTGAGTGGTTATGGTGTTCGAATACAAATAGGGAGGTCGTGGCTCAAATCCCATGTTCAGCGATGAAGCTCACTCGGTAACCTTGGACCAGTCACCCTATCCTTTATCCTTCCCTACCTTTCAAAGTTGTTATGATGAGTTTTTAAAAAATGGAGCAGGGAGTAAACCAACTGGTGGGCTGGTTAGAATGGAAACGGAAGCTGATCAGCAGTAGGTTAATGGACGGGCCTCCACTCTTTGCATTTAGACTGTTCAGAAGTATTCTTCCCTGACATCGCAGGAGCCGGCTTGGGAGCTTGGAAGAACCCATGCACTAGAGCCCATTTTTAGCCTGATTAAATCGGATAATAGGATATGCAACGGAGTTTGCTTCTTTGTAAGAAGATGCTGTTTGTAGTCTGCTTTCTGAACTGGGTTGCCGGCTGGACTGTGTGTATGTGGTTTTTGAGCTGTCTGTTTGTTTGGCACATCATGCTCTGAGCATCCAGTTTCTGATGTTTCCAACTTGCCCTAAAGGAAGGGAGAAGCAGAAAGCACTCTTTCCAGGCTTTACCCATAGATTTAGGAATCTGCTGTGGGGAAGTCCTTACTTCCCTCTTCTGCTTGCTGATTCAGCAACTGATAGCAATCTCTCTTCTACCCTAAACAACACATAAGTTCCCATTGGTGCAGACAGTCAGTCCTTCACATAATCTGGTCTCAAACCCTTTTGTGTCTTTAAAGAGACCAGTCAGCATTTTGACTTCGTCTTGGAAGTACACTGGCAACTAGTACCACCGCCATTATAGAATGGATGTTAGAAAGATCTAAAGACTGCAGAATGGGAAAGGACCTTGGAAGTACACTGGCAACTAGTACCACCACCGTTATAGGGTGGGCGTTAGAAAGATCTAAGGACTGCAGAGTGGGAAAGGACCCTATGGATCATCAAGGCCAGACCCTATCAAGGAGGCGCAATGGGGAATTAAGCTCCCAACCTTTGGCTCTGCGGCCAGAGACCTCGCTACCTAACTAGCTATAAGCAGCTGAATTCAGCACCAATTGGACTTTCTAAACAATCCTGAGAGGTCACAAGGTTAAGAACCAGTGCTATGGATCATCAAGGCCAGACCCTGTCAAGGAGGTGCAATGGGGAATTAAGCTTCCAACCTTTGGCTCTGTAGCCAGAGACCTCACTAGCTAACAAGCTATAAGCAGCTGAATTCAGCACCAGTTGGACTTTCTAAACAATCCTGGGAGGTCAGCCCATATAGACTGCATTATAGTAGCCAAGCCTGATTGTGGCCTTCATGCTCTGCTTATGAGCTTCCCCGTCCCAGATGATGCTGGATGGATGCAGACATGTAGGACTTACCCAACACACTGTTTTATTGCTTCTTCTCCTTTCCCTGCCATTCCCCCTTAATACACAAAGCTGCCAAAGTGAAATTGAACATAATTTTAAGAATTGCCACCTTCCCCATACAGCGTTTTGGGAAGGCACTGTTTATTTGCATATGCAAATTAATTTACTCATAGTACATTTAAAAACTGTTGCCCAGGGTAGCGGAAGAACTAAAAAAAGCCATCCAGGTGTCAAATAGAAAAAATATGTATACATGTGCTCCTCAATTACAATTAGTCACTTGCTTTAGGATTGATTCTGTGGCATCTTATCGCTCCTAGCTGGCAAACCTGCTATTATCTCCCAGAAGAACAAGTTGTAAGAAAACCCATAGCTGTCAATCAAGGATTCTTAAAGTCTGTGATCCCTTCTAGTTTCAAAACCCATTCCCACCCCCCCCCGCCGCCTGGACTACTTAGAACAACACAAATAGAAGTTCTTTCTGTAGGAAGGAAAATCTTTTTTGTGATAGATGTACTAGTAATAATATTCTAGTCACTACCCCGTCACACACCAGAGAATTTCAGGGGATTCTACCATTTTTCCTCTTCTCCTCATGAATTCAAACATTTACAAGGCTTATGGAACATTTTTGTGGGGGGAAGAGAGAGAAGTTAAAAAGGCACACCTCAGGCATGTGTACAATTGGCATGAATAGCTAAAATGTGTACCAAAAATGCACACAGACATATTTTAAATAAAGGGTACAAGACATACATTCAGCAGAATGCTTAAATAAATGTGAATGTTTGCAATAAGGCATAAAATGTGTTTAAAAATTCTGTGCAGGAACTGAAAACTGTGTCTTGTGCGTCAGTACAAAACAAGGACAGGAAAAGTCACACAGGTATAATATCGAGCAAGGCAATGACATAAAGGCTGCAAGGTTTTAATAGTTATATCACCCTTACGTAACAGAGCCAGAGGTTGGGGGTTCAATTCCCCACTGTGCCACCTTGACAGGAGCGCAGTTCTAAGATTCTAATTTTTTATAGAGAATGATGACTGATCAAGCAGTCAATCTAGTTGGTTTTTGAACCTGTGGTGGAGAAAGGTACTATCCTGTTCTTTGCTTGAGGCAGGCACTCGCGGCTTCTGTATTGTTTGAAAATGTCTACCCAGCATAGTTATGTATACATCAAGAGGTAAGCCCCTTGCAAATCCAGTCACCTCTTCTACAACAGACACACAAGCTTAAAAACAACAACAACACAGGAGTGCTTGGTACTCCCCCTTTGGGAGAGAAGTCAAATGTACAGGATGCTAATTGGTTGGTCTTAATGCCAGCCGTGATACAACACTTTCCATCTCTCTGTGCCAGTTGGCTAAGTCATAAGGCAAATTATCAACCCACCCTCCCACCGACCAGCACTGACACATGAGGGGGGGGGTACTTTCCAAGAATCTGCTGCATAAGATACTTCTATCTGGAAATTCCAGAGGCTGCTTTGGGTCCCGGCAAGGAGATAGAGGCAGGACAGCATTTAATTACAGAAATAATTAAATAACTACATCTGTAGCCTTGGGTAGGCCCAGCATGAACTGTACTATTTCTGTGCTTACTTACCAGGGAATAAATCACACTTGGCAAAATGAGACTGCTACATTCATATTTGTGGGATTGGAGTGGATTTTTGAGAAAATAAAGGCTTTACTTATTTAATAGACAAAACCAGAAGAATATAACAGTCACCCTTGCATTGTTTTCTGGGCTAAAAGCTAGCTGCATCAAGGGAAGATGCTTCAGACTAGACTGTATTGATGAGTGTAAAAATTAACTTAGAACAAGCTTGGACCAGCTGTTTACACTGCAGTAAAGAACTGTTGCTTTGTCCTATCTAATTTCTGATCTTTTCTCCTTTGCAGGCAGCTGAACTGGGAATGGTGTCAGCTTATTACACATATATCTTCACTAATCTGGTAAGACAGCTTTCTTGACTTCATTCCCTCCTCCCCTTGGTGCGTAAGAGCCTCAGTGATGAAAGCTGTGTCTGTTTGAATTGAGCATCTCTGACATAAGAAAGGGAGGGAGGCCAAAGAAGTACAACTAAGATGAGATTGGCATTTCTCTCTCTCTCTCTCTCTCTCTCTCTCTCTCTCTCCCTCCCCTCCCCTCCCCCTCTTTTTTGGAAGAAAAAGAGAGAGAGATGTGGTTGCTCATGAAATGTGTCATCTGGGGGCAGCATTTTCCACATAAAATCTGATTCAGAACCTCTCACAGGAATTCCTAAAGCATAGCAACAATGCTACACAGTTGTCTTTCTTTTTCGATATAGTTATGTTGTGCAAAGCCAATCTTTACATTATGATTTTGGTGTCAAAGTAAAAGATAGAAGCTACAATCCTATATGTATTCTGGACTTTGCTCAACAGAAATAAATGGCTTTTGGTTGTGAGCAGACACCTGTGGGATTGATCTGTTTGTCCGATTTGTGGGAGATGAACGATAAGGAAAGTCTGCAACCTTTATGCCCTTGTTCAGAAATTTCAGGAGAATCTGGCTGTCTGATGTTGGGAGACAGATAAGGAAATGCTTAGGATTGTCACCAAGGCAGCCGGACAAGCATTTCAGCAATTTTGTGACAGATCCGTTTCAGTTATATAGAAAACTGTTAATGTGACTTGTCATTTTCTCTGCTGCTCCCTCTGTTTCGCCAAGGGCATTCGTTTGATGGTAAATAAGGTATGGCTGGTCTTGTGAAAGATCAGCTGTCAGGATGACTTGACAGAGTCCAGTACATTCTGTCAGAGAACAATTATTCCAAGATGATGGCAGAGATACAGCAAGGGTGCAATTATTGTTCTTCCTTTCCTACCCTTCCTTTCCTTTCCTCTCCCTCCCTTCTCCCCTTCCTTCCTTAATTTCTTAATTCCTTAATTTCTTAATTCTTTCCTTCCTTAATTTCTTCCTTCCTTCCTTCCTTTCACCAGGATAATGTGCAAATTTGCTTAAAAGATGGCTTTTGTTGTGGAATCCTTTCCTTTCCATCCATCCATCCATCCCTTCCTTCATTCCTTCCTTCCTTAATTCCTCAATTCCTTAATTCCTTCCTTAATTTCTTCATTCCTTCCTTCCTTTCTTTCACCAGGAAAACGTGCAAATTTGCCTAAAAGTGTGGAATCCTCTTTCATGTACACAGTTAAAATATGTCCTGAGCCTGATTTTTACCTTGACAAAGCTGGCTCTCCTTTTTAGCATGCTTGTATCTGTGCAGGTGGGGGCTTCTTGCTCTTATTTTATGAAGGGGTTGATCTATGTTGTATGGCAGGGGAGGCAGTTAATAAGGAGAATTAGCTCTCTTTTCCTGTCTGGCTTTTAAAAAATGGATATCAGCTTTCTAATGCCATAATTCAAGGCAGGCTTGAGAAGATGCTGAATGAGTTTTCTTCTCTTGAAATTAAGTTTTGTGAGAGATTCCTCCTGCCATTAGCAAATCTTCCTCATTTGCACACCATGGGTCCCTCATGATCATTTCTCAACAGCACTATTATGCCATAAAAAATGATATTTTAAAGGCCCTTTCTTTGGCAGTTTTATCTGTCGTACTTCAAAGCTGTAAAACAAACTTTCCTGGCCACCAGAGACAGCTTTCCAAGTGGGCCTAAAAAGGTTCATGTCCCTCCGGGTTATAAGAAGCGTTGTTTTTCACTGGGGGCGGGGGGTAAACCATAGCCCTCTATGTGAACTGCTGGATAGCTCGGTGGGATAGGTATCTATCTGGCTGGAGAGCCAGGGGTTGAGTTCAATTCCCCACTTGTGCCTTCTTGACAGAGGCTGAACTTGATGTTCCCTGGAGTCCTTTCCAGCTCTACAATTCCAAGATCATCATCATAATCATAATCATCACCACCACCACCATCATAAGGTTGTGATTGGCTACATAAAAAGGTATCAGAATGATCTCAGTGAACAAGTAGATTAGTAAATCACAAACAATCGTCACACAGAAAACTGTTTTCATCCAAAACCAGCATGTATGTTCCCCCATTCTTTCTCTCTCTCTCCCTCTCTCTCTCTCCCTCTCTCTCTCTCCCTCTCTCCTAGGCACCAGAACAGTTGAGTTTGTTCCTTTCATTTGTTACCAAAGCCGCATTGGTGTGCAAGAGCTCTGCCCCCCCCCCACAGCTAGAAAGGGGTAGGTGGATAGAGACCACATTCCCTCCAGGCTAAGAGTCAAGTATGATACGGGTGGTGGTCTACTGAGCCAACACAAGAGACCATTCTGTAGTTGCGCTGGACGTTAAATGTAGAGCAGTATAATGTCAAGAGCTGGCTGGAGAGCTGAGTGGCTCAGGTCTCTGGCTGCGGAGCCAGACGTTGGGAGTTTGATTCCCCCATGGGCTTCCTTGACAAGGGCTAGGATCAATACAGTCCCTTTTAGCTCTGCAGTTGTACAGCGATGATGAAATATACGTAAAGGCAAGACAGCAGTATAGGGAGGCAGAGCCGGAAGGGAATGAGAGAGGCTGTATTTTCCAGGCATAACATCCTGGATCGGTCACCAGTATTTGATAAATGGCTTTGGGGTTGTTCAGTGGTAGAACTACAGGGAGAGGTTTCCAGCTTCACTACGTGGCATCTCCATTTAAAAGCAACTGGTGACAGACCTTGGGAACATCTCTAGAGATCCATAGATACCCTGAACAAATAGCAGCATGGAGCTAGATATACATAAAACCCTCCTCTCCCTGAATGCTCCTCCCTGAGGGTGTAGAGGAGATATTTTGTAGTTTTCAGGTGAGGGGGTGAAAACTGAAGAGTTTTTAAGAGGTTACTTTTTAAAAATACCAGAACAGTAAAGTGTTTTATGTTACCTTATAGACTAACAAGTTTTAATTGCCATCATAAGCTTTCATGGACTGTAGGCTACATAATCGAATGAAGTAGGTTAACCGTTGGTGAAAGTGTGTGCCAAATAAAACATGTGACTCATTAAAATGCCACAAATGTCTTGTTGTTTTAGCTACAACAAAATAACACAGCAGACTCGCTCACAAGCAAACACGTTCTTTAAAAAAAAACAAAGTATACATGGGTTGGTTTTATTTTCTTCATGCTTCTTCTCCCCACCCCGAGCTTTGGCACCACATGAAGCTTGCCGGTTCTCGACAGCCCTGTATTCCTGGCTTCTGAAAACAATCCTGCCTCTTGATATGCCTTCCATTATGTTCCCACAGACATGTTGGAAGAGGAATGGATGGTTGAATGAATTTTCTTCTCTTTAAGTTTTGTGAGAGATTCCTCCAGCCCAGCTGCATTGCAACAGTGACCCAATCTTTCAATGTAGCTTTCTGTACGTCCGCCTCCAGTTTATGAATCTGTCGGAGGTTCTGCTCTTACTGTAATCCGTTTATCTACTCCTGGTCTAGTGCTAACCAGGTGTTTTATAGACTCTGTTAGTGAGCTTGCAACTGGCTACTTGCTTGATTTCCATGGAGATGCAGGGTGTGCAAGAAAACAGGATTGCTACACGACACACCTATCATGGTGTCTTGGCTGTAATATTTTTGGCATGCTTGCACAAATGGCCAATGTATGGTAGAGTCTTTGTCCCAGTCACTCAGTTTTCTTGCCCAGTTTCCACTTAGAAACGTTGGATTCCCTGTGTCCTTTCCATTGCCCTCGGGGGCAACAGGCAAGTTGTGTTAGTGGAAGAGGGACTGAGTGTGTCTCCGTGAAATACTTTGGGACGGAATGTCTTGTATATGATTTCCAAGCGTTGTTTAATGCTTTTCTGCTCCAGTTCAGCTCATAATAGGTGGTCACTGAGCCTTAGGGCTCTCCTTCCGGGGTTCCTAATGGGCAACCTCACAGCTAAATCCTCTTCCTCCTCATGCTGCCCATGTCATGCTATACTATGTTAAAACGTGGGCTTGGTAGCAGCAGTAGGACATTGTTGTTGTTTAGTCATTCAGTCGTGTCCGACTCTTTGTGACCCCATGGACCAGAGCACGCCAGGCCCTCCCATCTTCCACTGCCTCCCGGAGTTGGGTCAAATTCATGTTGGTCGCTTCGATGTCCCTGTCCAACCATAGCCCTCTGTAAACACCAGGTAGATTTCTGTATCCTATCTGGAGGAACTGGAAAAGCTGGGGAGGAGGCCAGTCAAAAAAATGGCCATCTCCTGAGATCACAGAGATGAGATCAGACACCTTTTTTTTTTTTTAACTAAGACTGTTTTGGGGCTAATGAAATCGCTGTCACCTTTGGATGCAAGGGGACTGATAGGGTGATTAACTGGAGATGCCTTCCAACCTTGATGGTGCTCTGTTTCTATAATTTCAATGAATATTGATGCTGCGTGTGTGCGAGCATGTGAGCATGTACGCCAGGAGGCAAAGGAAGCATGCTGTGTATTTGGGTGGGAGAACAGCAGAAACAGATGGAAGCAAGCAGGAAGGAAGAGTCAGCTAAACTTAAGGGAATGGCAAGGAAAGGCAGGAATGCTGCCTGCCAGCAAAGGAAGGACATCCAGGGACGGAGAAAAGGGATGGTTGAAGAAACGTCACTTATTTGGAGTATTACACATGTAGCAGTCTTCTCCCAGGCCAGAGGTTAAGACTAGGAGTGTGAGAAGAACTCACAGCTTAAGGCTGCAGATTGGAGGACTGTGTCATTTCTCCCAAGTCCCTGCATGGCTTCATATGCATATGGCAGTCTGTCTTGTTCTTCTAAACTGGCCATACATTCTTCCAGGTGAACCTGCCTTTTTGATTAAGTGCCACTCAGATTTTCTGATGCTTGTGTCTGAGATGTTGCTGCATGTCATGTATCTAAACAGTCAGGGATCCTGCATCCCACAGTCATGAAACTGGTGATGCAGACAACATTGGTTTGAATGGGGAGATTCCAGAAATAGCCATTCTGACCCTGTCCCTTATCTTTATACTCAAAGTGGTAGTGGAGAAAGAAGAGGATA